TATACTGTGGGATAACCAAGAAGCAGGGCTGTTGGAAATGCTTTACCCTCTAGCTGTTCTCAAGGGCACAGCATTTTAATGCCCTTAGACTTGCTGTTTTCCCCTCTCCCTGCTACAGAGCCGGGAGGCCAACCTGACCCGGGACAGGAGGGTTTAGAGGAGATGAGGGAGGGCCTCCTCCCAGAGTCTGCTTTTCACCAGCCAAATAGCACTCGGCAAAGAACCAGTGTAATGGGTGACAAACATGTTCCTAGACACCTTGGGCTTCTTCCTTCCTCCTTCCTCCCTCCTTCCTTCCTCCCTTCCTTCCTTCCTTCCTCCTTCCTCCCTCCTTCCTTCCTTCTTTCCTTCCTTCCTCCTTTCTTCCTTCCTTCCTTCCTTCCTTCCTCCTTCCTTCCTTCCTCCTTCCTTCCCTCCTTCCCTCCTTCCTCCCTTCCTCCCTCTCTCCCTCCCTCCCTCCCTCCCTCCTTCCTTCTTCCTCCCTCCTTCCTTCCTTCCTTCCTTCCTTCCCTCCCTCCTCCCTCCCTCCCTCTCTCCTTCCCTCCCTCCCTCCTTCCTTCCTTCTTCCTTCCTTCCCTCCTTCCTCCCTTCCTCCCTCCCTCCCTCCTTCTTCCTTCCCTCCTCCCTCCCTCCCTCCCTCCTTCTCTCCCTCTCTTCCTCCTTCCCTCCCTCTCTCCTTCCCTCCCTCCCTCCTCCTCCTTCCTTCCCTCCTTCCCTCCTTCCTTCCTTCCTTCCCCCATCCTTCTCTCTCTTTTCTTTTTCAGAAGGAGGGTTGACACAAGGTCTCATGTAGCCCAGGCTGGCTTTGAACTTGATATGTAGCTGAGGAGGACCTTGAACTTTTAAAAATATATATTATTTATTATTTTTATTTTATGTGTATAAGTGTATTGCTTGCATGTATGCAACTGTACTTGTGTCATGCAGAAGAGGGCGTTGTATTCCCTTGGAACTGGAATTATGAATGGTTGTTAGGTGCCGTGTGGGTACTGGAAATCAAACCTGGGTCCTCTGCAAGAGCAGTCAATGCTCTTAACCACTGAGCAGTCTCTCCAACCCTGACCTTGAACTTTTGATCTTCCTGCCTCCACCTCTTGAGTGCTGGGATTATAGTCATGCACAACCGCACCTGGGGTATGTAGTGCTGTGGCTTGAATTCACGGATTCTGTGCTAGCACCCTGCCCACTGAGCTACATACCCAACCTATCACCTTGTATATTTTCTCTTTTATTTTTTATTTTTTTCTTTTCGGTTTTTGAGATAGGGCCTCATTCTGTAGGCTGACCGAGAAATCTCGGCAACCCTCCCGCCTCACCTCTCCAGTGCTGGGCTACAGTGCTGCACCACCACACCCAGCTGTAGTCTCTCGTATGATTTCAAGGTTCACTCTGATGCTCACTGTTGTGGCTGGCAGGACGCAAACTGACTTTCATCTTCTTTCTTGGAGTCCCCGACTCTATGCTCAGGGGTTCTCTTGGGTTCTCTGTGTGTTGATCATGGTGTCTGTGAACATGGTCCCTTTGTTCCTGGAACTGCCCTTGAGTCAGTTTCCTCTCCCTGTGCTGTGCTGTCTGGAGCCAGCGTGGCCGTGGCTGTGCTGGGGACCCAGAACAAGTGGGCTGGCTGGCTTAAGTGGGCTCTTCTGACGCTGCTGCCGGTGGTGGTGGGACCCTCAGCTTGGGTGGCCACGTTGCTGTTGATAGTTGAGTGATGGCCTGGAACTGAGTCCTTTCTTGTGTTTACTTGATCTGTCCCCACAGAGTTCCTGATCCCCATTCCCTGGGGGAGAGGAGTCCCTAGCTCCTGTGGGAACCACTGAGGTCAGGACCAGCCCAGCCTCACTTTGCCTAACAGCATGCCATGCTGGGAACAGGCGTGTCCTCAGAGCCACCAGCCCATGACGGTCACTCAGTGGGGCCTCTGTGCTGGCCTCTGACCCAGGAGTGATTGTCTGGACTGAGCTCACTGCTCGATGGGCCTTCCCCAGCCCCCTGAGGCAGATGTGGTGGTAAGGTGTGTTACGAAGGTTCTGGGAATGAGGTGATATATGGGTGAGGAATCACAACTCACTGCCCTCCTCCAGGGGCCAAGCCTGCATCTTCTTCCTCAGACTTCTCTGGAAGCCCAGCTCCACCCTCCCACTGACAGACATCCAGGCTTATGGATCTCCACAGAGGTGTTCTTACCCTGCAGATGGGTCACAGAGCCATTCCTGGCAGCCAGGGAGATCACGCCCCTGCTCTCTGGAGATGTGAGCCTGGAATTCCTGCTTCCCTGGATGCCACAAAAACCCAAGCCTAGGCCACAGAGGCTGTGAACCCCTGTGACTGGCTGTTGGGATGGCTGACCATAAACACCACAATGGGCAGGAGGCTGTCAGATGGGTGCCCTGTGCACACTGATGTGACCTGAAGCCTCTGGCTTTTCATACACAGGGTCCTGATCACCCCATACTGCTTTCTGTCCTTAACTTATCCTGCATCCTTTTGCCACTTGGACAAAGCTAATGTAGCAAATGACCACCTCCAAGGACAGCAGAGACATTCCTGCTGGAGCCTGAGCCCCATAGCCTTAAAGTCAGACCTCAGGGCTGTGCGGCTCCAGGCAAGGTGCTTTACTTCTCTGTTCAGAGAAGAATCTCCAGAGATTCCTGGAAGGGGCACAATTTTATCCTCAGCACTGGAAGGGCCCTCTGTTTCCTCATAGCTTAGCCTCTGCCTGGTCTCCAACAGTTAGCAGAGCTGTACACAGTGGGTATACAGCAAATACATTGCACAATGTTGGTGCCTGGTGGCTGTGTGTGGGAGGGTGGCTGGATGGACCTAGGAGACACTGGGCCTCTAAAGCCAGGTTTCTGGATGGTGGGTCCTCTGGCTGCTGTGGCCTTGCATGGGCAGGAGATCATCTCACACCTATGCTGCTAGAAGAGCTCTGCAGTGTGCTGTCTGGGATTAGCCTCCAAGGAGCAGAGCCCTGCAGTGCACAGGGTCTAGGCCCCAGCCAGAGAGCCTCAGCCTCCACCGACTGCCCCAGCCTCAGCACACTTTCTTTCTTCATTCCTGGAATCTTGAGGTTGGGCTTCTTGGGTTACAGATGAAGAGACAGAGGGTCTGAGAGGTTAAGCCAGTGGCCAGCATTACTCAACCTCCGGTGCAGCGTGCTGTGGCTGTTGGACCATGTCCCAGACTCGTCATCATCCTAATAGGAAACAGGCGCTGTGGCGGAGCTGGCTACAGGAGCACCTCGAGTCTCACCTCAACCCCCAATGCAGCCACCTTGTTTCAGTGCTGGCCAGCCTGGGCTAAGAGAGGTTTATCCCCAAAGCCTCCATAGCCTGAGATGATTTTTAGTGGAGGATACCCAGGCTGTGGGCTACCCTGTGTAGAATGGTGGACAGGTGACAACTCGCTGAAGTGTCCTTACTCACACTGACAGGGCCTTTGGCTCTGTCCACTCTGGGTCACCATAGCTGCCCAACCCACCCAGGCAAAGGGACTGTGACTAGCTGACGAAGGGCTTGGGGTGGAGGAGGAGCTGGTCTGGAAGCTCCTCTGCTGCTTTCTAGTGGGGAGACTGGGGGCCTCCTCCCAGCTTCCGCAGGGCGTTGGAAGGTGCTCTGTGGTGCTTAACAAGGCTGTGTGGGGTGGACAGTGTCCCCTTTCAAGGAGGGACTGGGGAGGGGAATGAGGAGTAACCAGGAGTCCACAGCATTCTGGGACACATGCATGCACTGGGAACTGTCTCAGCACCACTGGAAGGCTTGAAGGTAGCAAATTTCTTCTTCTCTTTAGACAGGATCTCATTATGCAGTCCTGGCCAACCCGGGACTCGCTATGTAAACTAGCCTGGCCTTGAACTCACAGAGATCCCCCCGCCTCTGCCTCCTGATTAAAGGCATGTGCCACCATGCCTGACCTTCATTTCTTTTTTTAAAGATTTATTTTTATTTCTATTTATGAGTGCATGTAGATGTGTTTGTGTGTTTGTGTGTGCCCAGAGGCCAGAGAAAGGTATTGGATCCCTTGGAGCTGTAGTTACATGGTTGTAAGCCACCTGGCATGGGTCCTGGGTTCTCTGGAAGTGCAGAGAGAGCTCTTAACCACTGTGCCATCTCTCCAGTCCTGAATTTTATTTCTTTAAACACAACTGAAAGAGGGACTTGGAGTGGTACAGGGAATATGAGGAGCACAGGACACCTTCAGCCTCCCTGTGCCACTGTGTCCCTGCCTAGCTTACTAAAGAAACCATTCGAATTGCCTTCTTGGGCAGGAGACTTAGGAGGTGCAGAGGTCCTGGGGACCAGGTGGCCACAGAGACCACAGGGAGCAGGCAGCAGCAGGGTGGCCAGGATGCCCTCACGTTCACTATGGACTACAGTGTCGCAGGCCAGACAAGTCCAGACCCAGGGACACTGAGAAGGGAGCATCTCCCTCCCCTGGCCTGCAGCTCCCCAGACACCAGCAGACGTAGGGGGATCCAGGAACCACCCTCAAGGCTTAATGGGCTTAATGGGTACATCCTTCCAGGCAGGTTGGCAAGATAGTCACTGCGCTGGGCTCTGAGGTGTGGTTCCCATCTGGTGTGTGACAGTTGGCAAGGTACCTAGCCACTCTGGGTCTCCACATCTGTGGCTGCCCACTGGGGACATTATGTCACAATCTTCTCTTAGGCAGGTTCTATGAGGACGGAAGACAGATTAGAGAGGTGGACCAAGCCACCTTGGTCCTGTCCAGGGACTCCCATCACCACCTCTACTTTTGATAGGCAAGGGGACAGAGGCTTGAGGTAAAGTCACTTGCCGAGACCATGGCATGGCAGCCAGTAAGGAGCCCACACCTTTTGGGCTCAGTCCTGGCTGGGACCCAAAATGGGACCAGGGAGCCAGTTGGGGAGGGGCCATCCCTGGACCCCAGGGAGCAGAATGTGGGAGGAGCAGGTCCTGAGTCCCCAGAGAGGAGTGGGGACACATACACACCCCTTGCAGATACTAGTCAGTTGCTAAAATACATTTATTGTTGTTTGGCCCTTCTTCAAGCCTCCCCTCCCTAGAAAATGAGCAGTCTTCACTCCTAGGAGAGGGGAGGTTCTCTCACACAGACCTCCACTTGGAGTGTTAGGGTGGGTGGCTGGGAGCCAGCCAGGATGCCCAGCCGCAGAGTCGCTGGGGTACCAGGTTGGTCCTGCGTAGGTTCAGCTCTGAGGCGAAGGTCCTCGCCTTCTGGTAGAAGAAGAGGGACATCTCGCGGTCCATGAGGAAGTGGTGGTAGATGGTGGCCAGGCGTGTGTAGATCTTCAGTTGTGCCTTCTTGTGGCCCAGGTCCACGGCTGCTGCCAATGCCAGCTGGTAGTACCCAGCCGCATCAAAAGGGTCCTGAGGAGTAGATGGTCCTGACTCACTAGGGGTGGGGGCGGGGGACACCTAGAACCAGCCCCCAAGGGTCCCAGGGTCACTCTGTCAACCCACAGGTTCACACCGGGATACTGTGAGAACATCCTGTCTTGCCCTGGCATGGTCATGGCCTAGCCTACAGGACTGGCTCATGGACACTGTCCCCAGCTGGGCCAGAGCTTCCTGGTTCTTGGGACTGGACATGGTTCCTCAAAGCTGGGGGGCCACACAGAACCGGGGGCTGACTCAGAGCGGCTCTGAGCTCACCAGGAATGTGACCCAGAGGTGACCTGGAATAGCATTGTGGCTGCCCCTCAGCTTCTTCCTGCACCCACACCTGTTTGAAAGTGGTGCTCAGCCCCCTTCTCTGAAGCTCCCCCTTCCTCCCTGGTACTACAGCCTTAGGCCTTCATCTGTCATTGACCCTGACTGTCTCCATCCCTACTGTCCTGCCTCCTGCCCTCCTCTGGAGTACATGTTGCCTTCCCTAGGGGAGGTGGGTTCTCTGGGGTACAGGGCCCCACTGGCTCTGGGGGCTTCCTGGCCCCCTGTTGCTGGGTGATTGTACAAGTGACCCAGACCTTGCAGCTCCTGTGTACACTAGCATTTCGAGACCTTTCTCACATCTGTTATCATAGGGAATCTCCCCTGGAAGCTTAGATGAGGTGTTACACTCCCTGGCCCCCCAGCCACTCCCAGGGCAAGTGTACCTTTGCCTCAAACTGAACATCCTAGGGCAGGACACACACCCCCCCACACACTTTGACCTCATTTCCCACCCCAGCTTCTCCTGAGGTCCCTCACATAGGAGTGACGGAAGAGCCTCCTGAGACCCCCACCCAGCCTGCCCTCTCCTGCCCAGCATCTTGTGACAGTTCCCCAGAGTTGGGGACAAAGTCTGAGGTCCACCAGTACCTCTCGGGCTGAGCCCCTGGGGTGGGCCCTGAAAAGGATCAAAGAGCTGGGGGCCCTGACTAGCCCCACAGAGCCAGGCACTAAAAATGGAGCAGAGTGGACTATACAACAGTAGGAGGTGGTGGACACTCCCTATCCTGGGCTCAAGGCCACCCCACCCCCCAGCTCTGTGATGTTACCTGGCACCTCAGGAGGATGGGAAGGATGGCAACAGTGTGTGTGCATGCGTGTACATGTGTGTGTATGTGTACATGTGTATATGTATGTGCACGTGCCTGTGTCTGTATGTGTGTGCCCATGTGCAACAGCCAGAGATTCACAGACAGGTCTGGCCTGCTCTGAGCCTTGCCCTTCACTGTGATTACTTAGATTGAAGGTGACTCATGGGAAAGACAAAAGATAAGATGCCTTGGGACTCCTGCCTCTCCTATTCCAGCCCCTTCTGCTGCTTCCCGGGATGAACAGGCCCCAGACTGACAGTGTGAGTCAAGGCTGAGGCAGCAGGAGGCAGAGCCCACGTCAAGGAAGACCTGGGAGTTCTCTGGCCTTTGACCCCCAGCCTGGCCTTGGCAACAGGGCTACCCTTCCCTTCTTCCTGGGACACAGTAAGTCAGGTGGTAAACCTCACTGTGGAGAGACTGTGCTCAGAGCCCTCGCCCCTTGGTCACCGGTGAGGATCTGCCTGAGGGGCCCCCAGGCTACCAGGAACAGCCCTCTCCAAGGGTACAGGCTTCAGAGCAAGGCTGCAGGGACCACTTCGGACCACAAGATGTCGCCAGTGCACAGCCAGCCTCAGGAACCCTGGGGAAGGGGTGAGGGGCCCAGGCCCCCACCCCAGGAACTCAGCCCCTGAACTTGGAGTCCTTACGCCACAGGAACACCCTTACTGAACAGATAAAGTGCTGGACCTGGGGCCTGGGCTGGGGTGGGGGTTGCCAGGGCAGGGCTCAGATAGGGGAGATACCTGGGTCCTTGCCTGCAGGAGCCAACTTGGCACCCACTTCAGGGCTGCAGGACAGATGGAAAAGAGGTCCTAGGTCGGGTGCCTGGAGCCATAACCAGCAAGGACTCAGACAGGCAGCCTGGGGGTCAGTGAGCCTGTTCCTGAGTCTGTTTCCTTCACTGTAGGACAGGATATGGTAATCTTTCCACTCATCCCTCCTGGGTGACCAGAAAAGAGTGTCCCAGAATTCTGGGATGGAATTGTGGTGACAGGTCAGCAAGCATGATGGATTCCTAGAACACGGGCCAAAGTGTGGGCTGGATTCTGCAATGTGAGTGTCAGGAGTCAGTGGTCATAAATGTCCTCCCTTCCCTGGCTTATATCCTTGTTGAGGGGTCACCTCATCCAGGAAGCCCTGTGACTACACCCCCATTGCTGGCGTATCTTGTACCCGTGTCCATCATCTGTCACACCGCAGCCTTTCAGCAGACTCTGAGCTCTGGAGGGCCAGGTCTGGTCAGCCTAGGAACCTGGTCCTGTTTGCTGACCTTGCTATCTCCTCACAGCCAGGCCCAGCTCCAGAACGGTGCTAAGTCACTGTTGGGAGACAGTGACTACAGGTGTAGACCCCACTCCAGGCAGGGCAATGTCTCCCAAACCCCAGACTGAGCCCTGCTCTTCTTACCCACCTTCAGGTCATAGAAGATGATGTCACCCAACACCAGGTAAACTTTCACATAGTACAGGGTCTCCTCATCAAACTCCAGGGGTGAGTTGCAGAGCGACAGAGCCTTGAGGTAGAAGTGCTCGGCCAGCTCCCCGTGACCCAGCCGGTGGTGCAGAGTAGCCAGCCGATGGTAGGTCACTCTCTCATTCAGGCGGTCACCTGGGGGTGCAGGTGGAGGAGTAGGTGTGAGGTCATGGCTCCATGGGGCAGGCAGAGCACAGGCCAATCAGGAGGCAAGCATGCAGACCTGTAGCTCCAAGCCATGACTCTGGACATTCCCAGACTTAGCATGGGTTCCAGCCAGTCCTTTCTGGTCCCTAGACTCATTCTTCTCTTCTGTAAAGCTGGCTAATGGCACCAGCTCCCCTCTGCCTTCAGAGCTGGCAAAGCTGCAAGCGTGCATGCCCCTGCTTTATGTCTGCTGAATCACCTGGTGCCTTTGGTTACTACTTTTAACTAGGAGCCCCCAAGGCACATAGTCCATGCATTTCCTGGCACAGGGCTCAGGTCAGGACTAGCAGTGGCTCCTGCCTGGGTATAGGCTCAGCATAGCCTTCAGCCTTAGCGAGCCAAACTCATCAGAGCCCCATACCCTCCCCTGCAAACAGGCAGCTGGCCTGGGTGGGCTCTGGCATCTTCCCCTTCCCTCCAGGACCAGCACAAGGAGCCTGCACACAGTGGTTCCAGATCAGCTGCTTGCCTGCTGCAGGCCTGAGGCCCTGGTCAGTCCACTCAAGGCTCCATGTCTGGAGGAAGACAAACATTCTCATTCAGTCGTTGAGTGAAGCCTGGTACTGAGGGACATGCTGCAGGAGAGGGGTGAGGATTGTACCAGTCAGAAAATTGGAGAGGCTGATGAGGGTGGGAAGGGGACATGGGAGAAGACCAGTACATGCGAGAGTGAGTGTGTGTGGACAGCAGGGAAAACTGGCCAGCTCTGAGGTTACCAAGAAGAGGCAGTGATGCCTCAGGGAGCTTTGTTCTTGAGTCCCTGCCTGGTCTGTGTCCTGGCCGGGGCTAGGTGTTGTTGGCTTAGCAGATCTGCTTTTGGCCTCAGCCAGCCTTCGCCAGAAATAGGGGGAGGCTGAGCAGCCTGTCTGCCCTGCCTTGTAGACCTGGGGCCAGAAACCTAGTTGGCTGAGGTGTGGGTCAGGGCACAGAGACTTACCCAGGGTGATGCTGAGTGCCAGGGCCTCATGGGCGAACTCCAGACCCTCCTGAGGTGCCTCCAGTGCAGCCAGGAGTGCTACCAGCTTGTTGCACAGGCGCAGTTCTGCCTCTTGGTTCCCCACAGTCACGGCTAGGGGCAGCGCCCGGTCCTGTCCATATGTGGGGGTCAGACCTGCAGTGGCTACCATGCAAAGTTCCTCCAGGGCACATTCCCCATATGGCTTTGTAGGACAGAGGATGGTTCTATTCTGATACTCCAGGCTTGGGGGGGGTGACCCTTGCCTATTCAGCTACCCCTGTAGCCTCTGGTCAGCCCTTCCCTCTGGTCAGCCCTTCCCTCTGCCCAGGCAACAGGGCCTAAGTGGAAGGATTGAATACTCTAATAAAATGCATGTTTTTGTGAGCCCAAGGCCAGCTGCACGCTGTGAGCTGTGGGGACAGAAGAGAGGCTCAGTCCATGTCTCCACTGGCATCCTTTGACAAAAGCTCGTGCCTCTCTGAGCTCAGCTTACTCATCTATAAGGTGGAGACAGGACTTCACAACTAGGGTTACAAGTGTGGGGTTGCTGCTGTGCCTCACAGGAGGGTGGTCAAGATCATTCCAGAAAAGTAGACTCCATTGGAGCACTCCACCTCCAGGTAGGAGGCTTTTGCCAGCCACACCTGTGTCCACTGAGGGACACCCACCTCAGACCCATGTCATTGGCCCACAGTGGCTTCTCACCCGGTAGAAGGACACAGCTTTCTCTCTCTCCCAGGTCCCATTGAAGAAGATGTCCCCAGCTGCCTCAAACAGCTCCAGCCCCAGTTTGGGGTCCCCGGTGTACAAGGCTGCATTCTGTGCCACCTGCGAGGACCAGAAGCTCTCTGGAGTCAGTACCCACCAAGGTGGCCATGTCCCTGAGATGCACACACAGTCCCTGAAGCTTCCTCTTCCCTCACAGCCGGAGGCACTGGCCTTCTTTCCCTCCCTGTGTATTTGGGGCTCTGGAAACAGTAGCCTTCAGGACCTGAAAGCCAGGAGGCGTCAGATCAGCTGGAGCCCTGGAGCCCAGCAAGTATGGGCTGGCCGGGTCAGCAGGGAGGAGCTTGGATCTGGCCTCTGGCCCTGTCCACTGTGTCTGAACCACAGAGCTCTGCCCTTACATCTCCTGTGGCTCCCACCACACCCTGTTCCTTGGTCTTTACTTCTCCAAGTCCTCATAATCTTGACCTGACTATGCCCACCTTCCCTCTCATCAGCAAGCACCACAGGGCAGGGTCTGAGGCTTGAGCTTCTCTGCTGTATCCAGGGATGCCTGCAATGACTGGTACATAACAGATACTCAACAAACATCCACTCAGTGAAGAGAGGGTAGCCCCACCCACTCTTCAGCTCCCAGGCAGGACCAGGCTCCCTGTACTGCATCTGCAGCCAGGACATCCCTCCTCCAGCAGGTGGCGCTAGCCCCTCACCCTGATTCAAAATTCCTTCATCCCAGGCTCAGCCCACCTTCCCGGTGTTTCTGCCTGCCAGATCCCATGGCCCCTCTTAGCCCTGGGCTCCTGATCCTCACTCTGTCTTCAGCCCCAGGGTCACAGTGTTGCTCCTGGGCTTCCTCGTCTGTCTGTGTTTAGGAAAGCGACACAGCTTCTATGATAAGTGTGTTTTAAAGTAAATGTGCCATACTCTACCAGAGCAAAGCTCCTCTGTGTGGACATGTGAGTCCCCCAGATACTGACCAACTGCTATATACAAACACAGGGCTGGACACTGCATGGGGCTCATCTGTCTGCCCAGGGAGTTCAGATGCTTGTCAGAGAGACTGGGGACTGAGGGAGACTGATGGGGCCTAAGGGGAAAAGATGCAGGCCCCTGGGATACACTAGGTACTCAGCAGTGGCTAGGGGATGGATGGATGAGTGAGTGAGTGGACAAGTGGATGGGTAGATTGGTGCATGACTGGATAAACAGGTCGAGACAGGTGGATGGATGCGTGAGTTGGATACATAGATGGATGGGAAGTTGGGTAGGTGTATGAGTGAGTTGATGGATAGATGGATTGGTGGATGGGTGAGTGGATGGATGGGTAAACAGATAGATGTATGAATGGGTGGGCAGTTATATGGGTGGGTCAACAGGTAGGTAGGTGGGTGGAGGAATGGGTGGGTGGATGGATGGCCGGGTAGGTGAGTGGGTGATTAGGTGGATAGTTGGGTGAGTGAGTGAGTGCACCCTGTCAGTCCTGAGCCCATACCTGGATGTACAGGTCCACCAGCTCATTCTGGTGCAGGATGTAGTAGATCTTCCCCGCCTGTAGCCAGGCGTATGCCTCTTTCTCCTTCTTCTGAAGGTCGATGAATATCCCCAGGCTCCGCTTGGTGTAGTCCAGAGCAGATTTGTAGGCCCTGGCATCAAACATGCACATGAGAACAGGAGCCTGTGACAGCCCTGGCTCTACACACTATGGGCCTGACTACAGAAGGATCTGGAAGGTCAGGACCTGAAGGAATCCTCTATGGGCAGAATCCCATGGAAAGACAGAGGGAATTCTTCAAGGGGAATCCTCAGTCTCCACCTGCCAAATCCAGCCTGTGTCTTCCTGGGACCCTGGGGAGCCATTGACATAGGGAAGAATTCAGACCCTAGACCAGCGCTTCTCAAACTCACACACATCGTGGTGTGGCGCACAGGACTGCTCTCAGGCAGGTTGCTGGCCCTGATGGTGGTTCCTGACCCTGTAGGCCTGGGCAGGGTATAGCACCTTCAACAAGCTCCCAGAAAGGTAGACACTGGTTCAGGGACACATCTGAGAAGCCCTGCTCTAGGGACACTGGCCCATCATTCCTGATGTGAAGTCCACATTTTTTCCTGGGGCCCAAGAAGTCTGAGCTTGACTGGTGTTAAGGAGCCCAGTGGTTCCCCAGGGACAGGGCCCGATTTCATGTCCCTCTACCCTGTGCTGCTCTTACCGCTCGGTGCCCAGCGACAGGTAGAGCTGGCTGATAGCCTCCAGGAGCTGTCCCTCCAGAACCTTGTCAGCCACCCTTTGGGCCAGCGCGAGCTGGAACTCGTGGTAGACGACACACCGCACCTCGTTGGGCACGACCTCGCTGTAGAAGTGGCATAGTTTTTGCACAGCCTGTAGCTGGCCTGGGCAGGAACAGAAAGTGGAAGTCACCCTCCTGGTTCCATCATCTCAGAGGCTCCCCAGTGCCTCTGTGTGGGGGGATAAAAGGCCCTGCTGAATGCCCACCTCTTCCACCTCTCCATGAACCAGGGCCTCAAAAATGGGGACACTGAACCCACGGTCAGGTTATGTGAGTGGCAGAAAGAAGGGTGCACCAAGAGGCCCCCAGTGCTTGATGTACCCGGGAAGCCCAAAGACAAGGCTGTTTTAGTTAACTCAGGGCTGGGTCCTGGCCTGGTACTCCCCCTGCTCTATGCCTCACCATGGTTCCCCTGCCTCCATCCCAACCTGGTGGTCAGGGTAGTAGCAGCCCAGTGCAGATGGGCACACAAACAGTCCACAGCCGTCATCTAGCCTGGAGCCTGCCATATGGACAATAGATTCAGCCAGGTTCCAGCATCTATAAGCCTGCACTCCAAGCCATGGCTTACTGGCCTATCCTAAAGTCGGATGCTGGCAGCCATGGGCATTCCTGACTGCCAGGACAACCTAGAAATCAACACAGAAGCAGAAAGCTGAGCCACAGCATAAGCCAGCCAGACCTCAGGGTCCTGTAAAACTCCCCCAGCAGCCAAACACAGTCCTTGAGGGCTCACGGGGCAGTCTCCAAAACACATCAGGCTAAGACCAAGTCTCAGTAAATGTGAAAGGACTGATGTCACAGGAAATGTGTTCTTTAGCTACACCGGAATGAGACTGGAAATCAGTCAGAGCCGAGGCTAGAGGTGCATACTGTAATTCTAGCTACTCAGAAGGCTGAGGCAGAAGGATCTACCTGGACTACAGAGTGAGTTCAAGACCAGGCTGGCCAATTTAGAAGCTTGAGCAGAGTTAGGCTGGGGATCTAGCTCAGTTACAGAGCATTTGTCTAGTGTGCATGAAGCCCTAGGTTCATTCCCTAGGACTCTTAAATAAACAAATAGAAATCAGCAAGAGAAGAAAGTTTGGGAAGCGCATGAATATACAAAAGTTAAACTGCCCATTCCTGTGTGACCAGAGGTCAAAGAAGAGGTTGGGGAAGTGAGGAAGACTGAGATGAACCAGGCTGAAGCCCAGAAACTTAAGGAGTAACACAAAGCAATACTTTGGGGAAACTGATGGCTGTGAATGCTTTTGTGGAGGACAGGAGGAGGAAAGGGGGGAGGGGAGGAAGGAAAACTTGGAACCTCAGAGCTAAACTTCCACCTTAAGAGACTAGGAAGCAAAGTGTTAACCACAACAGAAAGGAGAACGACTGATAGCAGAAATGACAACACACAGAGAGGAGGAACAGAAAATCCCCAAGACACAGGCTGGTGCTTTGAAAAGAATCACAAACCTTTCAGCAAAATGACCAAGAAAAAGGAAAGACGCAAATTCCTAAAACCAGAGATGATGGATGAGGTGTGCTGCCTCTTGGAGATGAAGGGCCACCGTGAACGACCACAACTGCCCATCAACTGATCACTCCTCAGAAAGACACACACTATATCAACAGTAAATCAATGGTGACCTGGTATGTGGTTCTGCCCCACCCCCGGCCTCCTCGGGCCTTCTACGGTACTCAGCTTAGGAGGAGGGACACATATTGCTGGGTTCCTGACTGGAGCTGTCCAGGTCTGAGGCTTTGTACCTGGGGAGGCCTGGCAGGACAGGCACCACTGACTGTGTGGTGAGGCTGCTGAAGGTGTGGAGGTCTGGCCCCTCCTGAGGGTCCCCAGGGTCTCTTTCACGCCAGAGTCTGTACTGCCAAGGCCTCACTGGCTAGCTGAACCTTACCTTTCTCCTCACCCCCTTCACACAGACATGTCTATGAGTTTTGTCCCTTTGGAGGCCTCAAGTATGTGCCAGATCTCTTATGGAGGCCTGAAGCCAGACCCACCTGGTCTCCATCCTTGGCACAGCCATGGTGTGTTCATCTGCATTCAGTGGCTCCCCACTGCTCTTGGGAAAAGGACAAACCTCAGCCTGGACCCTGCCTCATTCTCCAGCTGAGATTTACTATCCACCACTGCAAACTGCATGAGCTCACTCGAGTACCCCTGGGCTTCTGCACAGGCTGGACCTTCTGCTCCTGACCCAATACTTGCTTGCTTGGTTAAACCTTCCTTAGTCCTCCAGTGTCAGATCAAAGAGACTTCCCCAACCCACAAGCTAGAGTGGGGTAGTGCCCAGCATCACACTGAAAAGCACTTTGGGGCTGATCTGACCTGGTCATCTGTTTTCTACAGTCAGTTCCAGCCCCTAGCAAGGATGGCATAGTCTCACTTGTCCATGGGGCCTGACTTACAATTGTACAACTAAGTGCTTATGGGTGAACCTGAACTCCACTATGGCCCTGGCAACCTCTGTGAACAGGATATGTGGGGTAAGTAGGACTTCGGGCAGATGCCAAGGAAACAACAGAGCCTGAGGCGCCGGGCACTGGCGGTCCGGCTCACAGAAGCTGTAGGCTTCCTCTCACCTTAAGTCTCAGGGTTATGTCTAAGGTGACCATCATCCTATTCGGGTGACTGTGGGGTCCTCAGGATGAGGGACTTTCAGTATTACCCACCCTCCAACCCCCACTATTATGTCTGGCCCAGCATGGGAATAGTCTGCCTCAAAGGTGCTGGCAAACATCAGGTTCCCACCACTCAGCATGACCAATGGTGGGGAACCAGCCTCCAGCCTCTGCCTGCCACCCCAGGATGCTCTGAAAGGAGCTTTCTCTTCAGGAAGCCAGCATGACCCACACATACCCTAGGAGGCAGGAGCCTGAGGAACAAAGGTGGTACTTACTCTCCAGGTGGTCTGTTTCCACAGCAACCAGAAAGGCCCATTCATAGTAGCACTTGGCCTGCTGGGGGAAGGAGTGCGTGCACAGCTGGCCCAGCCACAGGAGCACCTGGGTGAAGTCCGGGCCACATAGCCCACTGGGCATCTGTGAGAAGAGCCCCACGGCCTCCCGCAAGTAGTGCCTCCCCAGGCTGCCAGCACCGGCTTGCAGGCACAGGGCCCCAAAGTTGGCCAGGACCACTGCCTGGTTCTGTAGATGGCCCTGACTGCGGGCCATGTGCAGAGCTTGGAAGTAGCCTTCTGCCGCCTGCCGGGTCCTGCCTGTTCTCTTCAGGGCCATGGCTACCATGTTGGTGATCACACACTCCTGGTCCTTCCTGGCCACGGCTGCATCTGAGATGGACTCCAGGATGTCCAGGGCCACCAGGCTCTGTCCATGAAGCATGTGAAGCCAGGCAAGGGCCACCAAACGGTCCACGACAGGGCGGACACCGGCCGCAGTGTCAGCTTCTGTGGCCTGAACCATAAAGGCAATGGCCTGTTCATGCTGCTGGTGGTGGCTGTACAGCTGGGCCAGGCTGGCATAGATGGGCCCACACAGGGCCTGCCCCATGCCTGGAGCCAAGGAGGCCAATGCCTGCCTGAGGTAGTGGGCAATCTGAGAGGGGAGGCCATGGGTAGTCCTCCTCTGGCTATACGGCTCAGGGGCGTTCCGGAGCACCAGGTCCACACTCTTGAGGGAACCAGCCAGTGAGCCTTGGGTCCAGAGTGAGGCCACCCTGAGGCAGCTCAGTGCCAGGTGGGGCAGGCACTTTCGGCCATAGACGTCTGCCAGGAGCAGGTAACAGTCCTCGGGCCACGAGGCAGGTGGGGCCCCCGAGTCCCTGTGCAGACGCAGCAGTCTCTCCAGGTAGGGCAAGGCCTCCTCCGGCTGCTTGAGGTGGATGTGGTGTCTGGCCAGCAGGAAGCAGGCCCTGGCCTCTGCCTGTGGGCTGTGGCTGCAGATGGCCCTGCGCAGTGCATATTTAAGGAGCTCCACTTCTGCGCTGCACGCGTGGCCTGGTGTCCCCAAGAGCAGGGCTGCAGCTTTGGGTGCCAACTGCACACACTTCTCCCTGTTCTTCTGCTTCAAGTACACAGTGGCCAGGCTGGTGTACACTGCCACCACCAGGGAGAGGTCCCCAAAGCTGCCCCGCAGAGCCCCCAGAGCCTCCTCAAAGTATACCCGGGCCTGGGATAACTTGAGCTTTCGGGCACACAGCCGCCCTAACAGGAGGCACAGCCTGGCCAGGGTCATGGCCAGGCCCACTTTCTTTGCTACCCCTCGGGCCTGAGCCAGGTGCCTGGCCAGCTCCTCCTCATCTTCAAAGCCACAGAGCACAGCACTCAGCCAGGGCAGCGAGATGTCATACAGGCCTCGGAAGCGGGTGTCATACTCGGGGGCATTTAGGACCTGCAGCAGAGAGCCCAGCACCTCGGGGTCTGTCCAGTCATCCTCGGGATCCAGGCAGAAGGGGGTCTCCTCAGGTTCTGGTGAGCTCACTCTGTGGGACACTGCCCCAAGGCTCCAGGACACTGGCTCCTCAGGGAAGCCAGAGTAGGCCTTGCATTGTTCTAGAACATCCTTTACCATGCGTAAGGTCTCTTGCGGCTCTGGGTTCAGATGAGGCAGAGATGTTTCTGGAAGTCACAGAAGGCCCAATTTGATCAGCTGTGAACCTGAGTTTCTAGCTCCACCTGTGTGATGTCCCTGCCTCTGTCCCCAACCCAGCTATATGTCCCCAATGCTCCACTTTCAGGATGATAACTGGTCATGACTCCCAAGAAGATCCAATCTCTCTGGCCAGCTTTCCTACCCAGCAGCCCGCTTTCTTCCACCTGCCTTTGGAGAACAGTTCTCAGAGATCCTGTGTGTTGGAGCTCAGTGTTGGCCTACATAGCACTTTCTTTTAGAAAGAGTCAAAGCCGCTTAACCATCTGGTATGCAGTCAGTGCCTGACCACAAGTGTGCGATTCCACAGGCCACTAAAGTCCTAGAAGCCATGAATCACCAATAGTTAGTAGTCACCAAAATCAGCCATGGGCTTAAAGATTGACACGCATAAAATGGACAAAGTGGACTGGTGGGTGTAGCTTGAGGGCTGAGCATGTACCTAGCATGTGTGAGGCCTGGGTTCAATCCTCGGTGCGCGCGTGCGTGCGCATACACACACACACACACACACACGTTGAGGCTGACAGAACCATGGTGATGAGGACAGGGACATTGGGCATACCAAATTGGCTGAGAAATCCCCAGCTATAGAGGTCTCCATCTGCTTTCGTGCCTGGACAGATTGAGAAGACCCAGGGCCTTTGTTAGGACTCAGGCAGAAAATGGGCCACCTGGAAAGGAGCTGCCCCATTGTTGTCTGCCTCTGCTCACTGAGCTCAGAGTAGGAGGGAGGCCCTGGACTTGCCCTTGGGCCCATCCCAGCAGTGCCAGACCTCCTCCTTACCTTCCTCCCTGAATCTGAGTTTGTACTGAGATGTGTCTATTCTTGGGGAATATCCCAGGGCCCTCAGCAGCTCACAGCCCTAGCTCCTCTATTTAGATCCTCTAGGGGAAGAGTTGCAGAGGGGAGATGAACAGAGCGGTTTGGTACTAGGCTAGGAAGGAGAGACCTCTAAGATTAAGTTGGGAGAGGGTCTTTCTCTCCAACACCCAAATCCAATTGTCTTAGTCCCCAAAAGTGTGGTCCAGTCCACTGAGGCAAAGCTTGGTAGCTTCACTTGAAAAGGTGCAGTGTGGGCTGGAGCAGGGGGAGGCTGGGGAGGTGCATTTGCCAGAAGAGATTTGGGTCCGCAAGGTCTCCACAGATGCATCAGGAAGCTTCAGGCCACCCACCCAGCCTCCTCATACCCCACACATGCTGCAGAGGAGTGGCATCAGTGTCCATTGTCCACCGCGCCCAACGGTCCTACCTCTGCCCCACACCTCAGAACCAGCCGTGAGCAGCAGACCCGACCACAGCTTACCTCGTGCCTCCAGCCGTTCAGCTTCTTCTAACTGGTCTGAGAAAGAAAAAAGCAGCAGTTACCTCCTCTACCAGTGCCCCAGGTCCTGCCTCATCCATGAAGGTGGACACAGGGCTCTCTGATCACCAGCACACATGAAGAAGTGTGGCTCAGGGCCAGAGAATCTGCATCCTCAAAGGTCTCCAGGCCAGGATGGAGCACAGTATCTACCCCTGCTGTACCCGTTCCACTGAAGGTGCCTGTGACCCTTCTCAGTTCTTTGGGGTACAGGGGCGTAGGCAGCAGCAGGACAGACTGGGGCAAGTCCCTAGCTGATTGCTCTTTACAACCAGGGTGGCTCCCCAAGCCTCATTCCCACCCCCTTGGAATGGGTTGACACTCGCTGCCTGCTGGATCGCCACAGTAACCAAATGAGAAAAGGAACCGAGGAAGATGTGTAAAGAGCTAAAAGTTGTGGCAGCACGCGTGTGGGCACAACACTGTCCAGGTGGTACCCTTACCCACTTCCTCTTGCCCAATGAGGCCCCATCTGCTTCCTAAGAAAGACAGGCAGTCAGGGTGAGTCTTGTTCCAGCAAGGGCAGGCTGAAGCCATCCATTTAGGAAGAGAAATTCACTGGGGACCTGAAAGGCTTGACCCCAATATCATGGGGAAAAGGTCTCTCCATGCATCTACTAAGCAGTATGAAAAAGCGTGTGGAAATGTGTGCTTCTGGTCTATGCATGCACGCATTCCACACATGTAAATGCATGGATGTTTATGTACATGTATATGTGCGTGATTAGCTGTGGGCACCTACCTGGGTGTATATATAGGCATATACACATGTAGACCCACACATGCACACACATATACACACTCAGAGACACATGTCTGTATACATGCCCACACAACACCTGCACATGCAAACGTGTGCACATAGTTGTATGTCTCTGGATGAGTGTATACATGGAAGTGTGTATATGCACATGAGTGTATAGATGTGCATGTTTCTGTGGTTGTACGTGAATGTGTCTGCATTCCTACATGTGTGTATATTTGCATATATATTACACATATATCTCCATATGAGCATGTACATGGGAGTTTGCATGTATGTCCTTGTGTGGTTTTGGGTATACCTGAATGCATGCAAGTATGTGCCTATTTCTGCACATGTGTGTATCTGTGCACTCCATAGGCAGTGTGCATGTTTGCATTAACTCTGTCAGCAGAATGGTAGATGAGTCACTCCCTGTGTCTTTGGAACTGGCAGCAACCCGCTGACATCTGCCTACCACCCTCCCCTCTGCTACATCTCTTCCGGTGTTGATGGCTTTCTTCCTGTCTGTGATTTGAGAGGTGCTGTGGAAAGAGGAGTCATGTTGCCTTTGGGGATGGCAGCCCTATAATTCTTAGGTGCTCTATGCCAGCTGACATCCATGGAGCCAGTTCTGCCTGGGGCTGGGAGAGGGGACTCTGACCAGCCTGGGGTAGGAGTTGGAGGGTATGGATCAGATCAGAACAGGGTCCCTAGGCTTTCCTGTACTTCAAAGGCTGAGGTCTCAGTATGTCTGGGGTTGGCACCTGGGGACAGTAGAGACAGGCTCCCTCAGCAGCCAGAACGTCAGGGCCAACTTGCATCCCTGGCTCCTGACTCTCCATCTCTGGGCCTGGCTGGTCCACAGCCAGGAGGAGTCTTTCCTTTCCCTGCCAGGGCAGGACTTTGACAGCTTCTCCATGGGTGGCCTGAGGGAGGCACAGCACTAGGACAGGAAGAGGAAGGAAGGACTGGCTGCCGGGAGGCACTCGTCAAGAATCCAACCCTCTAGGGACAAAGGTGACAGGGCATCAACCCAGCGCTCGCAGGGCAGAGTGGGACAGGTACGTGTGGCACTGGCTGGAGGCCACCAGGCCGCACCCAGTTGCAAAGCCAGTTGACCCACACCTTGAGTGCAGTCTCTGTCTTTCTGAGAATCTGCCCTGGGAAGATGCCTATAAATTAACAGCAGGGCACAACATAACCCTGAATTCCCAGCCACAGAGGGTACAGAGGCGCCAACCTCCCTGCACCTACCCAGGCTGCACGTGGTACATACATCTGTACCCGACGTCCTGCTCAGGAGCCGCCGGGCGTCCTCATCAGAGAAGCGGCCCTCACTGCTGAAGAAAGACCTTTCTTCCTCACTGAGGAAAATCACACTTTCCAGGCTGTGAAGACACAGTGCTTTAATTAGAACAACCTGGAAAGTGACAAATAAAACCCAGGAGGCTGGGCTGGATGGGACAGGCTTGAGGCCCGAAAGCCCGAAGCAAAATGGAGTCCCTGGCCAAGGCTCTCATCTGCAGGGGAAACTGAGTTCATTCTCATTCCAGGACTCCACGGCAGACTACAGGCCCATTGTGATAAAGGAGCCCTGCTGTGCTTCCCTTTAGAGGACCTGGTATGGCCAGCTACCCTACCCCTGCCCACTGGGAGCTGTGTTCTCTTTTGTACAATGGAGATACCAGATTCACAAATCCGAACATCAGCCAATCCTGATGCTGCTCCACAGCTGAGCTTGCAGCTTTGTCTTTTGACAAAAGTCAACATTTCACAGTAACACCTGTTTCTGCTCCCTCCCTCGTTTGCCTGCTGGTCCCACCAGGCACCTTCAGTGAAGATGCTGAACAGAGCCTGCTTGCAAGGGGACCCTTGTCTGACCAAGGATTAAGAAGGGCCTTGAGGTCCTGGGAAGGTGAGCACCTAAGCAGCCTTCCAAGTCCTACTTGAAATGTCCCCTCCCAGGTCAAAGCTGCTGCAATAGCTGCTACATTTCTCCCAGGGTAGGGTACGAAAACAAGGTTCATGTCGTCATAAAGTCAGGAAGTGGGAACAGGAAGGAACAGAGGGAGAGAGGAAAGGAAGGGGAGGCAGTGTTTGCCTATAGGGCTAAATTACCAATGTAATGTGAAATTCTTTGCTTTTTTATTATTTTATTTATTATTTTATTTTATTTTTGAGACAGGGTCTCACTGTGTAGCCCTGGCTGGTCTCAAACTCAGAGATCCACCTGCCTCTGTCTCCCAAGTGCTGGGATTAAAAGTGTGACACCACACCTGTCTAGAATGTGAAACTTTAAAGTGCATCTTATTGATAAAAAGAATCATGGGGCTAGAGAACCGACTGAACAGTTAGGAGCACTGGCTGCTCTTGCAGAGGACCCAGGTTCATTCCCAGCACCCGCATGGCAGCTAACAACCCTCTGTAACTCCAGTTTCTGGGGAATCTCATGCTCTCTTCTGATCTCTGCAGGTGTTGTACAACATGGACACTTACATACATGCAGGTAATACATTCATATACACATTAAAAAAAATCATGGCGTAGCTTACAAGACCTTCTATAAACTAACAAGCCTGTGTGTTCAGAAACCAGAGTCAGAGGCAAGCTGAACACTTTTGGGGTAGAACAAGTGAGGTAGGACAGGTGTGTGCGAGATGCGTTCTGGGATCTTCTTTGGCTGTGAACAACTCTGTGGCATTGTGAATTTCTTGATTTTTGACACTTGTCCTGGGGTTTTATGTGACACCCTCACTTTAAGAGCCACACACTGAAATTCTGGAAGGTAATGACTGTGGTAGTTATAACTTGTTCTTAAAGAGTCTGAAAACAAGTGGAAAAGAGAAAGAGGCAAACACAAGAAGCTGGCGTCCAGCCCTCAGCAGGCGAGGGACAGAATGCCACAGTCTTCTTTTATCTTGTCTGAAAGTCTGAGTTACATCAAGAGGGAAGAAGAAGACGGTCCACCAGGCTGCTCACTGACCCAAAGGCAGGAAGACCCAGGCTCCGCTCAGGAGAGACACTGGGAAATGTGTGTGTGACAGAGGCAAGTAGTTACAGTCCCCAAGGCTGCCACTCCCCAAATGTCCTGCTGGGGAGAGAGGGGGATCAAGGACCAGCCCCCAACCCTTCCAGCCCTGGCCTTCATGAGTTCAGAACTGTTGAAGACCGACATCTGCCAAGAGGCCCAGAGGGAAAACTCCATCATCTCTATAAGGAAGACCTCGAGTCACAAGCCACGAGCCACACTGCCACTTCAAGGACCCAGCTGAGCTAAGGATGGTATCATGTGAGGCGACATTTCCAAACAGAGAAAAGGAAAGCTCATGCTTCTTTGTCACTGGAGCTGGGTGGCAGTCTATGGCGGTCACCTACAAAGGGGTGTGGACAGAGCATGCCCCCTCTCCCAGATGCTGACACTGGCAGGGTACTGGGACATATCACTCTAGGTGCAGTCAGCACATAGGCCTGAACAGCGTCTGCTTGCTCTGATAGACAGGTTACAGATGGACCCAAGCAAGGCCAGAATGGAGGGTTCTCTGCATACACCCACATCTCCATGCTCCTCAGCTGAGGTCTGAACCAGGTTGAGTCCAGGAAAACCGGGAACTGACGAAGGATGGGCTCAGGTTGACTCACTGGCCACTCCCCAAACATTCCCCACCCATCACTGCCCAGGGCCATACAGAGGCAGCTCAGAGGTGACCAGACACTACCATGGGGACCCTCAGCTGGGGTAGGAGCAGACAGGTCTCACTCAGGGGACAGAAGGAGGCGGGTGAGGATTATGGGAGGGACTCTGGATACACAGAGCCCCAGGGAACCAGGTGGCAGTGGAGTGGTACATACATCGGCCCTGGACTAAGGGCCCACCTGTGCTATGTAGCTGGGCTCTAGGAAGCTGATAAAAAGTAGAAACTTTGAATTCAGGGTTCAAGGCCTAGGTCAGAGGCCATGAAGACTAGGCCTAGAAGCTTCCCAGAGCTTTATATGGAGAATGCTCAAAAAGCCTCTCTTCTGGAGCCTGGGGAGGCAACAGGTTTTGGAAATAAGGTCCTTCTGGCTCTTATTAGCTAAACTGAGGCAGACAGGAGCAGGTTGGATGTACAGTATGACAACAAGCCACAGACATGGGGAATTGGCCAGCAGGATGGGGCACCGGGACTTAAAAGACTCAGCCTGAAGTTGAGGAGGCTTGACTGTGGAGGCTGAGCTGTACGGGCTGCCCAGAGTTGTAGCGGCTTGGCTCCGCCCTGGGATGTCCATAGTGGTTACTCCCAGCATGTGACACTCACTGCAAAGCCCCCAGAACGGACAGGGTGGGCATGCACATCTGAGCAGTGACACAGCACCCTCTAGTGGCACCCTGGAGAAAGGACTGAGCCTGGCCCTGGGAAGAAGGAAGGGGGTTAGGGTTAGCCTGAACAGCACCCAGGTTGCTTCCTGAAAGGCTGGATGAGGGCTGCAGGGTCCCCACAGGAGCTGTGTGGGGTTCAGGAAAGGGGACCTCCACCACTCACTCAGATGCCGAGCCCTGCATGCTGACGAGGCCAGTCCTCACAAAGCCCACCTGGCCAGAGGCCACGTGCCGGCCCACACACCAGGGCAGGCCAGGCACCTGGGCACCAAGGACCTCAATGACATCACCGAAGCAGAAGGACAACTCTTCAGGCCCTGAGCTCTGGTAGTCGGCCACTGCAGAGGCCAGGCCAAACCCTGTGGGAAGGAGACCACGTGGTCAGAGCGGGAGCCCTTTAGGCAGACAGCCAGACAGGGTGACCCTCATGCTGGTATCCCTGACTGCACTGCCAGAGAGGTGTGAAGTGAAGCCTGGCTTCTGGGATGCAAGGAACTGGGCCTGTCTGTGGTCCTTAGAGGGGGTGTTTTGATTCCCGCACCAAAGGGGGCACTGAGGCTGAGACACTGGTAAACTCTGCCCTGACCATGTTCGAACCTATAGGACCAGGTCTCTGCCTTGTGCAGCTAAGTCCTCAGGCTCTCCCAGCACTCACAGAGGGCTGTGTGTTCTTAGACACAGTACTCATCCAAACACTGGCTCTACAAAGGGCAGAGAGACCTGGGTCCTGGCTGAGCTGAAGGGCAGCCTGTAGAGCCAGCTCCTCACAGGGAAGGCCCAGGATAGAGCTGGACCACCTCTCCATCCTCCATCTTGCCCAGCAGATTCCACCAAGCCCAGCCAGTCCACCCCGGGGTCTTCCATGGAGCCAGTCTCAAGGAGAAGTCTGTGATGTCACATTCTTGGCTCTGGGGTAGTGCCAAGAGCCCTCACCCATTTCCCTGAGTGCTGTGCAGTTCAGATGGGTCCCGGACCTTTCTGAGCTTTAAGTCTCTCTGTGCTTCGTAGAAGGGATTCTGGCCTCCTCCTCTGGTTTAGGGAACATTCAGGGCAAATACAGAAACTTCCAGAATACTAGTTCCCACTACTTCCTTCAGTTGCCTCTCCCTCAGGGAGGAAATTCCAATACTCACCCAACAGTGGGACATCAGGCATTCCAGGTCCATCCATGGAGTCATCGACAGGGTCCCATGGGACCTTGAGGGCCCACCTGGAGAGGCAAGAGGTCTGTGCTGTAGCATCTTAGACTAGGGACAGGCGTGTCCCACATACACTGCTAAGCAGCAGCCCTCAGAGACCCGTTCAAATCCCATCCCCCCTTCAACATACCTGCCCAGCTGTGTGGCCTCAAGTTACTGCCTGTGACACTGCTCCCAGCTGGGTGCTCCATCCCAGGGGACGATGTAATCCTACCCTTGCTACCACAAGCCCTGCATATTCCCAAACACCTGTGCCCTGTGTTGTCCTGTGCTGGAAGCAGTACAGTGTGGCCCAGCAGAGTGGGAGGGTGTTTCAGCACAGGCTAGGGCCTGGGTCCCAATCCTGGGTTTCCTGCCTTGTCTTCTGTTATGTGGTCAAATCTCCCACCTCCTGGGGCCCTCAGCCTCCAAAATTTTTGACTGAATACCGCACTGCCTTCAACACTGCAGGGTATATCTGTCCACGAGGGGACGCGTCCCCAGCACATAAGGAGAAGATCTTCCTTCTCTATAAGGACAGATCTCAAGCCAGGTTGCAACTTCAAGGGAATGGTAAATCAGGAGGTGGAGTTTCTCTCTTTGCCCTAGCTGCCAGAAAACTCCTAGCCCAGTTTACACCATGTGTGTGGCAATTAACAGGAGCTGACACGCCACCGGTCCTCAGCCCCCGGTTTACCTTCTTTTGCTTTTTATTCATGAAGATTTCTGTATGTATTAGTTCTTTCAGTTGTTCAAATGTGACAAAATGCCCTCAGATGCTACATATAACTCCACCCTATCTCCTGGGCAGTTCTGCCCAAGCATACCATTCCCCTCAGGCAGGGGGCAGCCTGCAGCCCAGAGAGCTAGACCACTCTTCCAGCCACAAGGCGGGAAGCAGCAGGAGGGCCTGATGTGGTCTGTTTGTCTGTCTGTTTTGTCTGGCATGGTTCTCTGTGCACCTAGCACCTACAGACAGAGCAGGGTCTGTGAGGCCCCACCCCACCCAGGGCCCCAGGAAAGAGCAGCAAGCTTGGTACCTACTGGTGAAATGGAGTCAAGAGCTCTGGCTCAGCCTCTACTGCTGCTGCCTCAGCAGATGCACTGGGGTTGGGGGGCAAGGAGTCTGTTTCCAGGGCTGCCTCTCCCAGAGGGCTCCTGGAAGCCTGCCTGAGAGCCCGAGAGCATTTCCCTGTGTCCTGGGGTCCTTTCGTCATTCTCACTCGGTGGTCAGGAGACAGGACAAAGAAGGGCCCTTTGAAAGGACAGAGATGGTCATCAGGGTAACTGCATCAGAGAAGCCGGGGCTCTGCCAGATAGGACAGCATGTGCGCCAAGCCTGAGGGCGCCCACAGTGAGGACACACCTGTAGGAGCCCACCCCACCCTCTCTTCCAAGGAAACAGCTGCCCATCTCTGGAGGCCTGAAGGAGGTCCATCCCCACCTCAATTGGCCCTGTGAGGCAGACTCGACCTCAGATTCACTCTGAGCCTCAGTTTCCCATTTGTGCTTCTCAGGGACAGATACAAGATTCCCATGTCTCTCTGTGCTTGGACTGTCAAAAGAAGCCCAGTCTCAGTTAGGTGTCAGTTATGGTGTCTACCCCATGGCCAGAGAGGGGAAGTAGCTCTGTGCTTTGTTTCTGGGGACTCAGGGCCCTCCCTCCTACTGTGAAGCTCAGGGACCAGGGGCTCTAGACAAACCCTTTCCCTCTCTCCAGTCTCTTTACACCTCAACTCTTCGGAGGTCAAAACATCTTTATAACCAGCGACTGTGTCTGGGCCATCTCATGCCACGTCATACCAGGCAACCTCCTGCCTGAGATACCCCTGTGTCCCCCAGAGCTGTCCCCTACAGTGTTTCTAGTGTCCCTGGCTCTATGTGATCTAACCAAGGTCATGGTCACTGCCTACCTTCCTGAGCAAGGAGGTTTTCGTGCGTCTGCTTCAAGGCATCCTTGTTCACATACACGAGGATGGCTGTCTCCTCCTCCTCTCTGGGTGAGAGCAGCCAGAAGGCCTGGTCCACCAGCAGGTTCTCCAGACAGTGGTGTGTGAAGCCTGCAGGGCCAGGCCAGTCATCAGCAAGCTCCAGAAGGGGGAAGGGGCTCCAGTGTCCCAGGGAGGCCCCCGATATGGCCATCCTGCCCTGGGAAGCCTCTAGCACCTCCATATCCCATGGTCCCTCATCTGTCCTGTCACATCCACCCCTGCACCCCTATCACCTGGCCTCATTTGCCTTGGGATTTGAGTATGCTAGTCAGGGATGTCAAGGATGTAGAATCTTATAGGTCATTAATAAGATGGACAGAAGACCTGTTGTGAAACCTGGGCCCTGGTAGCACGGCCAGAGTCCTCTATGCCCATTTCCATCAAGCCCCTGGCCAGCCTGTGGGATGCTGGGCACTCCCTCCCTGCATAGGGGCTGCCTCCTTGTCAAGTACTGCCTATCAGGGAGGCATGCCCGCCTTGCTCCATGTGTGAAGCCAGGGAAAGTACTAAGAGAACAATTTGTTTACACCAAATGTGGGTGGACATTTGAGGATAGGAACTCAAAGGGCCACTGTCTTCTGGATGGCACAGTCACTCCACCCGCCCCCCACAAGGATAAGCTCAATCATCTGAGATGGGGCTAAGTGCCCAAGGAAGGTTCCGCAAGCTCAGGCGCTCTTACCCCACCTGCCCTGAGCTCTAAGAAATGTCAACTGAGTGAACCCCATGCCAAAGTATGTCACGAAGTGCTAAGGAGGGGCCACTGGGCTCTAACTGCCTCCCAGAGATGGCACTGCTGCGGGTGTGAACATGCTGTTTTCATCTACAGAGTTCTACAAAGTTCATAGTGGAGAAGCCAAGGTGGAGGCAGCAGGCATCCTGGGTGTGCTCAGGTGCAGGAATCTAGCCTCCCTCTGAACAGCTCAGGGAGGGACCACATGCAGATCCAGGTTCGCATCCTGTTGCAAAGTCTTGGCCCTTGGCTTCCCTCGGCCTGCATTCTAGTTTTTGTTTTAGGGTTTTTAAATTTTTTTTAATTTTTACTTTTTTTTTATGGGGAGCCTAGGGTGATGTAATGCCCAGGTGACTACCAGTGTCCTTCCCACAATCCACTGTGGGAAGGTGACTGCCTTACCCAGAGCATGGTAGGTAGAAAACTTCCAGATTTCTTCAAAAGTCTTAAATGTCACCACAATCCGGTCCTGGTCACTGTGGATGGACAGCAGCCTGGCCGACAGTTCCTGAAGAGAAAGAAACAGGAATTGGTAACATTCACAGTGGCTGCGGTGCCTCTGGCGACCAGAGGACAGCTGCTGTGTCTGGAACAAGCTTGCAGAGTGGCCTTGTTGGGGTATCAAATGCAGGGCAGATTCCTTGACAACCCCAAACAGCTCCCTCCTGTTCACAGGTACCTGCTATGGTTCCCCAGTGCCTGCAGGAGAAACCCGTGTCCCTTCCCAGAGCTCCTATGAAATGCCTGCTTCAGTCTGTACCTTCTGGTCCTGTTGGCCCACTCCACCTGCCTTTACCCCTGGATAACAGTAAAGTCTATCGACACTTATTCCAGGTCATGCCTCAGCCTGTAGGGACAGGCCTGTGGCCTTTACTGGCGCTCACATGCAACTCCAACCTCCCTTGCCTCTGATTTCAGGGCTCATGCTGAGGGCATTAAAGTACCAGTCACCCACTGGGCACTCAACTAAGGGAGTGCAGAGAGGGTGCAACACCAAGACCAGGCCAACCTGTCCCACATCCATGATGGTAACACCCAGCCCAGACCCTAAGTCCAGGGACATCTGCAGGGCGGCAGAGGGGCCCTGGGCCCTGCCTTGTCCCTTACCATCCTCTGAGTGACCCTCTCGGCTCTGCCACTTTCCTCTTCAGTGCCCCCTTGTCCCCCAGTCCTCAAGTACTCACTCCAAGCACACGGGCCACCTCTCTGCTGTCGTTCTCCAGCAGGCGGAGTCGACTCTGCAGGGCCTGCTGCAGGCTGGGGCTCCTCAGTCCACTCTTCCGCCGCACAGCCAGTAGCTGCAAGGTCAGGTCTAGAGAGGTGGAGGGGGCGTCAGGCAATGCGTCTGGGCCAACACAGAGGACCCATTCGGCAAGGGCCACCTAGTGACTGTGACCTGCAGCTCCCTATTCCTGCAACTCAGTTCTACGTGGGGCATCCACCCCAGTGGGCGTGCTGGACACCCACATCTCTACCCTTTCTTTCCCACCTCCAGAGGGGTCCCACTCCCACCCTCTCTCCATCACTCTCATCAACCTACCACCAGTCCCAACCCTTGCCCTTGCTAACCCTCTTGAGGCATCTGAGTAGCAGCCGGCATTCTGGAATCCACACAGCCAAAACCCTGCTAAATATACTCTAACCCGGCCCAGCTCCCAGCCCTGCAGGGCGGTACTGTCTAACAGGTCTCTCTGTACAGTGGACACACCATTTGTCTGTACATTGCATGCAGTGACCACCAGCCATGCATGCCAAGCGTGGCCAGGGAGTCAGGCTTTGTTAATAGAAACAAAGGAAACAATACAAAGAATCAATGAATCTAAGAGCTGGTTTTTGAATAGCTAAACAAGATAGACAGACCCTTAGCCCAGTTAACCAAAAGAAAGAAAGAGCAAATCCAAATCAACAAAATCAGATAAATACCCAAAAGATCCAGAACATTATAAGGGAATACTTTAAAAACCTATACCCTACTAAATTTGAAAACCTAAAAGAAATGAACGGATATCTAAAATCATGGGAACCACCAAAGTTAAACCAAGAGGAGATCAAC